ATTTGATCATACGATATCAAAGAGACGAAACACATACCAAATAAATCTATGCAAATGCTAGTGCATTGAATGAATCTCTAATGATACCTTGATTTACATAACTATGCTGTATGTAAGTACGTATTACGTACTCGTTAGGTTTGAGCTGATTTGTCTGATTAATAATTCTACCCCTGTTGTCGTCACCACGATAGGACTCTTGTGTGAAAAAATTCGTTATCTTTATTGCAATAACAACAAGTCAACACTAGAAAGCAACACTTGACAGTCGAATGGATTTTACGTGATCAACACAAACATTTTCATTTTTCGCCAGGAATTATGAATTATTAATCTAATGTAATATAATGCTAAAGATAATTTAACAATCAATCCATCCGATAAAAGTCGCACCAATTTTAAAGTTGTCAAACAAAGTGTAAAATAAGAAGAATAGTAATGAAGATAATAATGATAATAAAGAAATGTATTTACATGCAAAAATTCACGTCCACCGCCATCCCTTGTTTTTTTTTTTTTTTACAATTATATGTTTTGAACCCTAAATACGCTATCGGGCAGACCGAAAACAAGATAAACTATGATACCAAGAAACCCACCGACCCAGTCGTTAGATGCCAAGCCTGTATCGTTTGGTTTATCGGCAAGAACTCTTAAAACAACTCCAACACTGGCCGTGATATTGATGAGAGCGAAGGCCAGAGAGAAGCCTACCATGCGAATCGCGGCCCTGCGTGTTACATTATATGACCTATTATGTTCCACATTTCTTCCCTTTTTGGTGCGCGAAGGTTGAGTGATAGATCGGGACGTGGCGTTGAGGTGAGGTTGAGGTTGTAATGATTTCTTGTGTTGATCTTCTTGCGCAGAGGATGATGAGTCACTCTGGGATTCTGACATGATTCCCATTTCTTCCGATGATCCCGATCCCAAGTGACCATTCGCCATATTTAAGTCTCGACTGCCGAGAGTGGTCTTGAATTGATCCAAGTGCTTGTACACCGAATAAGCGGCGCGTGCTATCGTGAATTTAAGAATATTTTTGAATATTTTTTGCGTCAACAAACACTCTTTTTCCCCAAAAGTAACTCGAGATTCGGTACAATACCACTTATAAAAGTCCCGGGTAAACTGAGAATTAGATTAGTGCCGGAATAGCCTATTAGCCTGACGGGGGTGTCCACCACATCACTGACAGATGATTAAGGAAATGTTGTTAGACGTCTTGTCGATGAATGAATGTCTCTTGATAAACCTCGCTTTACGCATTAAACTCACCAGTTCATGACTCTCGGTTTAATGGCTTTAAAACGAATCGAAAGTATGGCCAGGATAATGGTGATGACTATAGGATATATAATTATAAATCCGTAATATAATCTTTTCAAGTATGCTGAGGTCTCCTGCTTGTAGAGCACAAGCAATCGATATGTTTGTATGGCGAAACATAACGCGCACGCCATCGTTAGGTAGCATGCATATTGTAACTGTTCGTGAAAGCAATTCGAAAATGTTATCTAAACCTTTCTTAAAGATTTCCAATTTTCTTCATCGAAAAATAAACTTACCAACAAGGCCTGGAAATAGCAAAACTCACGGGGAGCCCTTTTCAGATTATTCTCCCAAAATAGGCTGAGAATTACATCAATGCTTACCAACGACATAGAGAATGACAAGATTGCTACTATATAATTTCTACGCGCTCTACACAGCGAATATGTCACATAGATCGAGCACACTAACGAGGTTATGAATAATATGTAAAGGATGACTATCGCCAAGCTATACATTTTTTCCAAAGTTGATTATTGTGAGAAAGAAAGAATGAAGGTGTGTGTTTTTCTCGTTATTTGTTTATGTGGAAACCGAAAGAACTCGAATCCAATTTAGGTGTAAAACGAAACTAAATCGAAATCGAAATCTCGAGTTTATATGAAATCTCGAGTTCCCCCACTGCCAATGGCAATCCGACTTTCCTGGGTTACATGGTTTTTTTTTTTTTTTTATAATCCCAAGATTTTTATGTACTCAATTGTTATTCATTAATACGGGAAAATTTTTTTTATATTGGCTAAACTGTTGGAATTCTCTTACTCTTATTAATCAAGCTCGATGTTTGGTAATACTTCCCCCGTAATTGGTTCAACCTAATAGGCACGTCGATCCCTTTCTTAGTTTAATATTAGGATAGTAGAACGAGAAAATTTGATGCAAGTCGTAATTCGTTCAATGGAATATTAACCAAGGAGTCCGGGTGAGGTCTAGCCTCCAGTTAATAGAAATTTGAGACAATTCTGAGACGAAAAAACATGCATGAAGTCTTCGTTCGAAAGATGTATACCCGAAGAAAATTATTTGACCTTCACGAGCGTATTCGATTACCTTCTCGATCGATGTCTCTCGTTTAAAGATCTTTGAAATTATCCGACCGATAAAATAATTCTCGAATATACTGTACATAACAATTGTCCTTTCATAATAGAGAGATTGATGCATAGTGTATCTTCTATTTCCATAAGACAGCACCAAATTCTCCGCAAAAATGTGATCCGGCATGTGACACGCGATTTGCTTGGTATGCGAATATCTTTGTATGGCGCAACCGCTGTGCAACGTGAAACCATGCAGCTCATAACTGGTATTCTCCCATCGTTCATAGTCCTCATGATCGGGTGTAATCAGGAGCGTAATCTTCTCCTCATCTTAAATTTTTTCTTACGCACAACTTAATTTGATCTTGAGGTCACGGATCATCGCGGTAACGATTTGGTAAGCATTGGATACCGGTCGGAATGCCAGAAAAGATGAAAAATCGTTCTAACGCGCCAATCGCATGTCCGCGGATACAAGCAATCGCAATATTCTTTAACGAACGAAGGAATCCTAAAAGTTGCATCGTTAACTTGTGTGATTCGTTCCCACCGGAATGTGTAGCGAACTCTTTGGGAATATGGTGTGAAAATCGAGTGTCTTTGGATGTTTGTATTTCCGGAGTAATATGACAATTGGTCAATTTTCTAGAAAAG